TATTTGGGGTTGTAAAACAAAAGCCAATCAATATGAAAAGAGTGAAGTCACAGAGTATATTCTCTGACTGCAATGGAATTAAATGACAAATTGATATCAAGAGGTAACTAGGAAAACAGTAACTACTTGGAAATTAATACATGTCCAAATAATCAATGGCTCAAAGAAAAAAGCACACAAAAAATTAGATATTTTCAATGAAATGATAATGCAAATACAACATATTAATAATGTGTGAGATGTGTCTAAAACTGTGACTTGAGAAAATCTTAGAACTTTAAAAATCTATAAGAAGAAACATCTCAAATCAATGATCTGAGCTTCTACTGTTAGTAACTAAATGTATCATATAATCTATTTTGAATGTACAGAAATCTGGGGTATTATTCACAAGAGTCATTCTGAATAAACTACTAGAAGACAAGCTCTAGCCAAACAAGAGATAATGGGGAATTTTTGGTAAAAGGATCAGTGATAAACAATACACAACAGACCCTTGAACAACATGGGTTTGAACTGTGTAGGTCCACTTACATGCAGATATTTTTCAATCAATATACTGGAAATTTGGGGGTTGGGTATGTCACATACCTAACCAAACAGATAAGTACCCCACTTAACAATACGTTGCCAGTAGGCTATCAGTAGTTAAGTTTTGAGGGAGTTTAAGTTTTAAGAGGAGACCACCTGCCCCTCTAGGCTGCCAGGTGAGCCTGGGGTGGGAGCCCTGCTTCCCTGTAGCCCCCCACCACTCTTCCTAAGCCAGAGTCCCTCCCAAGCTGCTTCACACTCAGCCCAGAGGCTTGGGAGGTGACCTCTGTGGGTCCTGCACCCTGAGAACTTACTGGGTGACCCTGACCATCACCCCATGACAGCCCACTGACCTCCGTCCCCACAGATGCCCCTTAGGGGAAACTCTGAAGAGATCAAAGGCCACAGATCTTATTCACAAACATCTCCCAAAGCCTCACACAGTACACTGGCAGAATTGTTAGGCTGAAGGACAGAGAGTGTCATCCCCTAAGCCTACGACCCACAACCATCCTTTTTCTCAGCCAGGGCATCCCCCCTCCCCCTGCTGTGCCCCATTCCTTCTCCTACTCTGCTTTGGCTGTAGGTGCCCTGCCTCCACTAATTCCACAAAGCTCAATAAATACCAAGAGATCTGAAAAAAAAAAAA